AAATACCCTACAAAAAAAAACAAAAAACAAAAAAAAACCCCACCCTGTTATCTTGATAAAGAACCCTGCAGTTCTAAAGAGAACATACTGTGTCTCCAGGCCAACCTCTGCCATCTGCAATCTGTACTGCCATCATGGAAGAAACATTTGGGAGTGAGCCTCCTAAATACATACACAGCTGCCACATGTGTGTGCTCTCAGCATGAACGCCACATCGGATCCTGACAGCAAAGCAGAGTCCTGCTCAGGGCACACGGCAAGAGCTATGGGTCTGCACAACCATGGATGGTAAAACCTGATGTCTGTGCATGCCTAGGTGAACAGAAGTGAAGACTTAGGCAGCAGAGAGCTGGAATTGTGATGACTTCAACAGTGCTTAAATCCTTTTAATTTCAAGTAACTAAAATTCAAGAACTAAAAAGTATTTCTAAATATGGCCAACCATATGCATTAGCGAGGGAACAGAAGGTAACGCTCAGTTTCCTTTAAAACGAATTCTGTGTAAGACATTCAGTTAGTGTTTTTAGGTCACCCTAGTAACACAACCGACATTGCCATAGTAGCATCTTACATGGAAAGACAGATCACTCCAACCTCAGGAAAAGGTAATTCTACTTCTCTGACTCATGGCAATAAATCCATACTTTTGGAGTGAAATAGGCAGGCACTTCGAGCTCCCAAAGATCTTGAGTTAGTTAATTATTCAATATGTGTAAATTTGAAAAAACAGAGTAAGTGTCATACTTAAATTTATAACCTCCCAAAGGACAGCATGTTCTGAGCAATTAGCACAAAATTATTGCCAGAGATGTGGTGTATTAGAATAAACAACACTTTAAAAAGATACAGATGTTAAATGCGTATGTGCCTTTGAGAGTCATGGTAAACATTTAAAAATAGACTCCGTGATTATTGGTGTGTTTAGATTTTATAAGATCTAGGACTGGCAGAGGACTCTGTGGTTCTTGTTGTGTGCCATACAATGCACGTGATCTGGATTAAATTTTAGAGGGAGGTCCCTTTTTGTCCCTTCCAGACTTCTACTTAGTAAGAGTGCAACAAGCTAGACTTAGAAGCAGTGTAGGCAAATATCCATCTCCAAAACACCTATGGGTCAAAATTAACAGTGACTAAATAGTGGCACAAGCTATAATCCTGGTGTCCAAAAGAAACAATGACTTCAGTGACTATTCCTCAGAGAGTGTAAGATGAGAATCAGCTTACAGGTAATATAAACTGCTCACAGAGAGGTGCTGGGCAAAGCGACCTGTGCAACTTTATATGCATTGGCTTGCAAAAAGGAAGATAGCACTATCTGCCTTATGGCAGAAAGCCACAAGCTCTCAATAATGTTCCTCTACCCACCTCAACAGGTAAGCTACCATTTTAAACTGAAAAACAAATATTCTGCCGTGCCAAAGGTGTCACAGAAGTTCTTCTGGCAGAAAAAGTTGAAAGCCAAGAGGGATATAAAGTATGTCCCTTTCTCTCTGGATTAAACGTGTGAAAGTATTCCACTAAAGGGTAAGAAAAATTTGGAAATTACAGTTCTCCAACTCTTGCTCTTTTTCAGTTCTAGCCTTTTCCTAACTCCTACCCTCGCCCCCCCCCCATTCCCCTCAAAGCACAAACCCCCAGCACAGCTCTCAATGGAATCTCTTTCCTGTGGATCCCAAGCCTTCCAGCACAACCCAGAGCATTTCCAGCTCCTTCAAACTCAACCACATTCGCCAGTGCTGCCGCACGCACTGTGTGCTCCGTAGCCTCTCCATAGCAGGGAGGCCAAGCACATCACTAATGGCAATTACTCCAAAGCACCTAATCCCCAGCCCGTGATGACATGAGTAACTCACAGAAGAGTTTAAGATTTACCAGTTCTTCCCAAATGTATAAATCATCTTCCCACACTTCTTCCTCTTAAGCATCACCATTGCATTTGTTTTGCGTGCTTGTTGAGCTGAATTTGCTCAACTTACTGCATTTTATCACATATTCTTCTTCTAGGAACAATCTGCACACAATCAAAAACGTACACCACGATTTAAGTCCTTGTTAAACTTGGCTTAATGTGTATTGTAATAGGCAGTGCTTAGAAACCACAAATGAATTTGTAGCTTTCTTTTACCACTGCACAGTGCACAAATACAAAATCATGGCAATTTTCTGAAGCACTAAAATCCCATCTTGAAAAGCCAGGCAGGATACAAAGGGGTGTTTCAGTTCCTGATTTATGAGTAGGGATGAGAGAGATTTTTTTTTTAACTGCTTTTTTGGGATTTGATTACATTTTTAAATATATGGGAAGTCAGTCCAACCCATGAGACTTGCTGAGAGATCTACAGTATTCCATGTATTGCTCTTAGGTGGACCATTTCATTACTGAGAGTGAAAATTATTTTCCTTTAAATATAAAAAAAAAATCTATTAATGAAAAAACACATAAGCAAAAGTTTGTTCCAACCTCTCTGTACTAAAATAAGCTCCTCTCTTTTACAATAACAGTTTTAATTTTCAGTACATTCCTATCACAGTGTAACCATGTTTGACTGGAAGTAGATGAACAAATCTCCGTAACATAAGGCCTTGCAAGGAGCAAGCAGCACTTGGAGCTTGAGGTCAGTTTCTTGAGCCCTGGAACCAACCAAACACCTCCCATTACCTTATTCTTCATTACTTTACTAAGAAACAAATCAAGGCAAAGTTGTGCCCTTCAGCCTTTCAGTCAGTTTTGGACCAGAATTTAACCTGGATATCCAGCTATTTGGTTCACCTTAGAGAGGTAGGTGTAATTCTCTCACTAAATGATATCAGAAACTTACTTCTATCTGTAAACTTTTGGAAGGTCACATAGGCAACTAGCAAGCCAAAATCATAGGTTGAAAGTGAGAAATCCATTCAAGAAATATGGAGTAATTTTTCATAAAATACTCAGAGGTACACATTCATTCATAAAGAAAGGTAAGAGATTCTATTTGGCTCTACTGTCAAAATTCTGCATGTATTTAATAGAGCAAAACACAGAACATTACTGTACCAGAGTAAGAATAACGGAAATGATTACAAACATCCATTTCAAGGGCATGCTAGCAATACTTATTAGATGGAACGATACAAGAAATTGTAGCTTGGTTCAGTGATTTACATGCCACTGTCCTGAGCTGGCAAAGATGGGAAATTGGGCCAAAAAGCTACGTAATTATTTACCATAGAGGAAAATATCATCTTCCGCTTTTTAATTAGAAATTGAGATAACTGCCAGTGCCACCTGCAGACAAAATACGATAGGAAAATAGAAAAAGAGAGAAATATAATATGGGGGATCCCTCAGCTATTGCCATTCCCAGAAATTCAGAGCGAGCATTTCCCCCAACTACTCACATTTCTGATAAATCATAAATAAGTACATGTGGTCTGTGGAAGAAGACAGTTTCTTGCATCTCTTTTGAGTTTTCTAAGAAAAACTGTCACTGTCCCCAGGGATGAAGGTAGTGAAAAGAAATATTAGGACCTTGGGCATAAAAAAAGGGAAGAACATAATCAGATATTTTTAGGGCCAACATGAACAATCAACATTTCTCCTCTTAAAAGCAGAGACTTCAGCATGAATGAAACCAATGGCTGATCCCAGCAGGTATAACAAAGGGCAGAATTCAATTCATGCCATCTAGACTTTTGCTAGTCCTTTTGCTAGTGCTCTAATGAATGGTTCAGTTCTTGTATGTAATTTGATTACTCAAAAGTAGAAAGGTCCAGCTCATACCGAGACCTCTTAATTCACATCTGTGCAGAGCACTTCCAACAAGAACCACGAGTGTGCTGTGCCGTGAGTAGCCCAAAAACAAACCAGAAAACCATGGGGTATTTCACATCTTCTAGTACAGATAGTAAGAAATATGAACCCAAATGCAAGGTTTCTATTCACCGTCTCCTTCGATGAAATGTGGCATTTCCAGAACATGTTTCTCAATCAGACTATCCCCAGAGCAGCTCTGCTGAGCAGTCCAAAGGCAGTATGCAGCTATTTGCTGGCTGGTAGTAAGCAGCACCAAGCAGAAGTGAAACAAGCTTTCAGATGCACTTTACACACTGCCACTCCACTCCTTCTCCCCACTGACTGACGGTCAGACACTGGATTAGCACTGCCTGCCCCAGCGGACGGAGTCTTTCCCTCCCAGCAAGCACAGTTCTTTGCAACATCGCATCTTTTGCTTCTTACCTTCACTCAGCAGTGTGTCAGCAAACGTACTCTTCCTGGTGCCAAAACAACGCAATTGCTACACGTGGTTTGTGCAAGATTTGTACATATTTCTTGCATTAGGCTATAAGTCTATCTTGCATCATCTTGATGTGATTCTTGTTAATTTGAAACACGACTGCATGTAAGCAAACTGTTCTGAGTTGGGCTCTTTAATGACAAGCCAGCATCCAGCAGTCACCAAAGCCAGTCACACCACGGCTGCTGGGATTTGTACCGGGATGACGGATGATTTCTGAGAACAGCGGTGGGTTTACTGACGGCACTGCCAGACCCAGCTCACTGCATCCCAACACGTTCCCGATGGCCATAAACCCAACCGGGCAGCTTGGAGAGCGGTTTGCGAACGTTCTATTTTTACCCAGCAGTAAAAGCGTGGTTTCCTTGGCCCGAGCCCCACGGCCAGCAGCGGGGCTCCCCGCGATGGCGGCAGGCGGGCCTCGCCTTCTCCTCCAGAGGCGGCCCGCTCCGCGCGGCTCCCTCAGCCTTTCCGAGAATTCAAGCGAAAGCCTTTCACTTTCCGCGCGCGGGAGGGCTCGTGCCGCCAGGGGACGCTGTGGCTCCCCGGCCGAGCGCCTCCGCCTCCGCGGCTGAAGGGCGGGACGCTGAAGGCCGTTAGCGGCTGCGGGAGTTACGGCGTTGGCGGGCGCGCGTGAGGAGAGCGCGATCCCGCAGCCGCCGTGTCTCTCGCGCGCTCCCGCTCTGCCCGACTGAGGCGGCCGTGCCTCCCTGGGGTCAGGCGTGAGGCTCGTGCGCAAATCCTGCCCCCTCAGCCCGGCCGGGTCGCCGAGCGTACATGGGAGTCAACGAGGCTTGTCGTGTAACTTCCAGGCATTTCGGACTCATGCAGCGTTATGGTATGTGACAGGGACTTCCCCTTGTTTCGGCAAGCTGAAATCCTGTAAATGAAAATTCTGAACCCACTGGTTATCTGGATGGAGAGTCCCCGAAGACAATTTATAGACTGTATTTCATGAGTAACAAAATATGGTCGCTGGGATTTTCTGATGCCTTCCAGGTATAGCCCAGCAGCCCGCCCTCGTGAGAGCAGGATGCATAGATAACAGCAGCTCTGAGCGGCCCTGAGTGCACAGCTTCTGCTGCTGCACCAGTCGTACATGTACCATAGTCACTGTAGGATCAAGGCACAGCTTTGGTTGGAAGGGACCTTAAAGCCCACCCAGCCCCAACCCAGCCATGGGCAGGGCTGCCCTCCAGGGCTCCGCCAACCTGACTGAGCACCCGCAGGAATGGGGCACCGCAGCTTCTCTGAGCAGCTGTACCAGTGCCTCACCGCCTCTCGTTGTGCAGTACTGAGCATTTCAAATCGTAGCTGGGTACTGGTATATGCTAACACTGAATGAAAGGAGTGCGAGCTCTGAGTTAATTACCAGAGAAACCTGAACCAGCATTTTCAGTGCATGCTCACAGTGCACATGCAGAAGCACCGACTTGAGTCCTCACAGCAAGCACTGACTTACGGCACAAGAGGATTGCAGCATGTCACTCTTGCCTAAGTCATGTAATGGTGAAAATGCTGCACCATAATGTGGTTTCCCTACCAGCACTGTTCTAATATAGTCCCGGGTGACTATTGGCTCTGCTTCTCAGAAAGAATAGCTATCTCGTGGCCTGCCAATTAATCAGGTTTGCTTCTCATAATACATTATTTTATTTTGCATGGCGCTGTGCTGCACATGGCATGCTCTCAGGTTTCTATATGCACACAGCGAACAGTTTAAGTAATTTATAAAGATTTATAAAGTAAGCAGCTCAGGAGAGAATATGTGTAAAAAAAACACACCAGCTGTCTGCAGCCACTTTTAAAAAGTTTGGGAGGCCGCTTCAGGAAGAGTTTGATCACTGATTGTAGACAAGAATAATTTATTCTGCTAATTCTGCTACAGAACTGTAATTTCTGGCAACTTCTTTTAAAAAGCATGGACGTAAACTTGTTGACACAATCAGTAAGCACTTTCGAAAGGTGTGCTTCACTCATTCAATTCATTCTCTCTCAACTAGAAGCAGAACACGCTTTACATCAAGTGCAATTTCTCTTTTAAACTTCTTAACAGTTTCAGTGTTTTACTTCTGGGGAGATGAACCTCACCTGAGGGAATTATTAATGCCTTCCAGCTCTCAGGGGAGTCCCATGGAGCACATTCCTGAACTTCACAGACTCATTCCTTGCCTGTAAGTCTTGCCACATTGGTTGGGAACCACTGTTCTGTACATCAGATGCCATGTAAGACATTATTTTTCCACTACTGTATGTTATTCAGCTCCTTCTGAAATTAAACAAAAGGAAGCTACAAGTAGTGCTCAGTTCGAAATGACTTTATTTGACTGGTGATGGTAAGCCTTACTTCAGAGTGAATTCATGCATGGGTGGACTGCCAATCTTTCATGATTCACAGGATTCAGAAGTGTTGGGTAGTACCACAGTCACACTACTGCAAAGGCAATTTTAGGGCTTTTAAATACTGAAAACAGCAATCATGAAGAGTAATATCCTACTGGGTATCAACCAGTAACACTTCAGCATGTATCAAGATAGAGGTGAAACCAGTTTATAACATATACACTGCCTTCTCTTCAAAGCATATATTTATTTAAAAATATACGCTTATGTCACCCAAATAGTTATGAAGATACTATAAAAATACATCCATGTACAAAATAAAAGTGATTATTCTAATTATAGAGAAACTTAAAAATGAGTCAAATTCTTACAAAGTTCTCTCTACTTTGTTTATACCCAAAGGAGAATGGAGAGGAAGGGAAATCTATTCAGATTATTACATCTGATTCAATAGTGTTCCAGAGAAATTATGATCATTAAGAGCATAATTCTGGGTAACTGGCAACTCTTCCTCATCTGCTTGAAAGTAATCAATTTAGAAAGCATTTGCCTATTAATGTCCGAGAATTCAGCTAGAGCATAGTAACAAGGCAGCTAAGATGTGCAGGCAGATATCAAATGACAGACTATCCGTCCCATTTATGTATACAGATATTGGATACCAAACGAGGCCAAAGCTGGTCTGTGACACACAGTGTTTGGTGATAAGCACAACCTGCTGATTCAAGGCATTCTCCTGCCACCAGCCTCTCTGTCTCCCTGGCATGGCAAGTTCTCCCCCTTCAACTGTGTCATTCTTTTTGTCAAGCCCTTCTGTGAACAGGATCAGACAACCTGTGCTCAAAAAAGGCTCCCTCTCCACTCAAGGTTACTTTTCAACCATTTGCACTGCCTATTACAAAACCTAGAAACATTGTGTTGGCGTCACTGGAAGGAGAGCAATGTGGGAGAAGGAGCAGGTAGGGGTGGGCAGATAAGGCTTGCTTCACTTGATGTAGACACCTGTAAAATTGTATGAATACCTACTCTCTCAAGCAGGCATTTGCTTTTGGTGTCTTTTAATGTTACAGCTATGCATCCTGAAAATATATTCACATAGGACTAATCTAGCATGAAATTTCTAGCATCATCTGATTTCAGGGATAACCAATGCTCATTTTTATCCCTGGGTATCCGTATCATCTGCCATTTCCCTTCCCCATACTGAACAGGACTTGAACTTCTGGGTTAAAATTCTAGCAGAAAAGCAGTTGAGGATGACAAACCCCACTGTCTTAGAGGAGAGGGTTTCATTCTAGCACTTCTCCCAGATTTAAAGTCAATACTTCTTACTCTTTGACTCCATTGTTAATAAAAGGCAAATAAGCATCATGCGTTTTCTTACCTTAAAACATTTCAAAGGAACCAAGGCATTTGAGCATGAACTGAAGTAGGAAAAGCTGGGATAGGTATCCCCTTCTGTAACTACTGGTAACCAATGGCAAAGGAATAGTTGTATCTTAAACTGTGGCTGATGAATTTACCAGAGCCAATTTATCATTGCTCTTAGTCAGCTGGAATGTGCCTGCATGAACATCCCTATTAAAATCAGCTTGCATCACCTGCAGTCACTTTGAAAACTCTTTTGTATCATCAGGATGGCATAAAGGTATTGGCTTGGTACTGGGAAAAAAACAGGTGTGACATTTTATTATTTTAGTTGAGTTGTTGAGACTACAGTTTTGAAATCAGTAAGGCAGTAAATCCAAGTGCTTGGCAATGTAGGCAACCATTCAAAATTTCCCATAGAACATGTAGAAAACCTAGTCTGTTCAATGCAATTTCAGAACATCAACGTGGATCCATGTGTGTGAGGCTCTTTTGCCCTCTCTGGAAGTATTAGCACACATCTAAGTGAAAATATTTAAATTTACTAACTATGATACTGTGACAGTAACATAAATCTTGTTTTGTAATCTAGGAAGATCCCCTTTCATGCCAAATATACATGAATGAAACACACCTCATACAATTCCCTGAGAGGACTGAAGATTAAAGAGAAACCTGTTCCATTCAACTCAAGAGAATAACCTCAGAGTCTTAACCCTTGGTTGCTAATGGAATGACATCAGAAAGCAGCCATCAACAGCATCCTGCCAATTTCCTAGACACCAGGGAGTTTTGCTAAAAGTTGCATTAAATGATCTGTCATCAACCTCATATTAATCTCTCAGTATTTTATTACTAACCCTTAAACATGGCCTTCTGGAGGGCATAAGCTATTGGCAATGGGAGGCAGTGATTAAGAAGTGAAGTATGGTGAAGAAAACATGACAAGTCAGCTAAAACAGCGTTTGGAGACCATTTAATATTGTGTTGGCAAGCGTGACTTGCTATAAAAACATTTTAGAGAGTCCAGATAGACGCAGGAATCTAGCTGCTATAGAACAAAAATGAACCCTGAAGCAGAAAATTTAATTTCTCATTTCTCACATTAAGGCATAATCTTTCAGCCTACAAAGTGGTAGATTCTGGCTATGCAGAGCACCATGTATGTGTGCCAAGTTTCTTGAACATGCTGCAGGGCAAGACACATTTTTTAAACGTGTTGTAATCATTGTACATAAGATGCCACAGACCGTGGTCTGCCCTTTGTGTGCCATGTGGCTGAACTCTTGCTGAACTCAATGCTGAATGGGTTCCAAGCAAGTGCAGAGCTAAGGTGAGGACATAAGAACTTTCTGTGTGCACTGATACCATTCTCCTGTAGTTAAGAAAATGTCGCTGAAGTTAAAAGGAAATGACACTGAATTATTGCAACTCGAATGCCCCAACCTGAGCCAAATGCAGGAAGGTGCTTTGCACCGTGAGGGGATAATAAGGAAAACTAAAAGCAACGTGCACAGGCATCAGGTATCACAAGGCAGGGCTTAGACAGAACAAACCATCGCAGGCCGCATGATGCAGGCTGATATTCCAGCCATCCCACTGCATGACAAAGCATACCTAACAGCAGAGGAGTTTTAATCAAGTGTATCAGGGCATGAAAACACCAGAAAAGTACTGGAACATTTTCCTGAATTGAGTGTTCATTGTTAGAAATGCCTCTGCCCTGAAAGGCTCACATGGTTAGCAGGTAAAGCAGATGGTGCTGGAGAGACGTACGTGTCATGTGATAAACAACAGCCATCTAACACACAGTGTGACAGAGCCCAATGAAAGGTGTTTGTTCATTACATTGCATTTGGAAAATGTAAGAAGTGACGAAAAAAGAGTTGCTATTATTGTTAGGAAAATCAAAATGTTAATTGGAGGTGGAGTTGCGATTATTCAGCCTGGAGAAGCAAAGGCCTCAGGGAGACCTTATAGCAACCTTCCAGTAGCTAACGTGGGCTTCCAGGAAAGCTGGGAAGGAGGGGGGCTTTTATCAGGAAGTGTAATGATTAAAAAAAAAAGGAACATTTTTACACTAAAAGACAGAAAATTAGGATTAGGTATTAGGAGGAATTTCTTTACTCAGGGGGTAGTGGGGCAGTGGCACAGCTGCCCAGCGAAGCTGTGTGCAGAAGGCCAGGTTGGATGGGACCCTGGGCAGCTGAGCTGGTGGGCAGCCCTGCCCATGGCTGGGATGGGTGGGCTTTGAGGACCCTTCCAAAACAAACTGTTCTGTGTTTCTACGAAGAAGACAGAGAGATTCTGCATATTGACTTGGGATAGATTATTGAAGCCCTACTGGTCAGGTATTAAATAAGTATGCAGATTGTGTAATAGGATTTTTATCAAGAAGTCATTCAACAGTTTGATATCCTTGTGTTGTCATTTGTAATAAGATATTCTTCCGGTTTGTGAGAACAAATCAAGAAAACGAGACAGATAAAAGTCTCTCCATAGAATCTGATGTCAGACACTGTACTAAAAGTGAAATTGAAAATGAAAACACATTATACATATTTTCTTTTAACACGTATAGCTGATGTTTAAAGAGTAAAATCATTTCATTTTTCTTAACCATTATAAAAGTTATAACTTGAAATAAAAGCAATTACCTATTTTTAGATAATTGTGTATTGTTTCCTGAATTTTACAGACAGTGACCATTTCTAGTTGGAAATATAAAGAAAATACGTGGAAAGGAACAATGATGCAAAAAAAAAGTTAGTGAAATACTGTAGAAATAGTTTTTCATATGAATTAAGTAGAATATTAGTATATGGGGGACTGGTATAAAATTTGGTAACCTAACAATTCATAGGGAAAGTGTTTTGATCACACAGTTTCTTAACAGAGTAGTAAAAAATGCAGGTGTATTCACACGAGAGTGTCATTTAGAACAGCCAGTGAAAAGCTGGAGTTATCACATGGCTTCATGTTAACAACACTCGGTCACCTGCACCTCTGTTCATACTTACACAGCTGCAAGCTGCTCTGCCTTGGCTGACCTCAGTGACTCTCCAAGATTCCCCATGTTACCTGAAACTCCAGACTGGAGAAGTGTGGAACAACCAACAGAACAGCGGTCCAAACCAAGGCAGGCTTTCTCAGTATTTTATTAGCCTTGGGAACTGGGCTTTTGTTCCTATAGAAAAAATACATAAGTAGTTTCTTCACTTCACTTGATCAAAAGGGCTCTTTCAAATTCCTCAGCTCTTGGATGTTAATCAAGCCCTTACACACAGCTGATGGATCGTGTTCTTCTAGAAAGGCATGAGAACGCATCTTCTTAATGCACTAGCAGAAGAGGTCCTGACTCCATACTGGAACTTAGAAAACAAATGGGATGGTCAGAATTTACAAGGGAAATTTGTAGCCCTGTGTACTATTGTCATTTACAGTAAAAAAAATTTAGTAAATTCATCTCTAGAGATTATTTACCTCACAACCCAGTAGTGCACTTGGAAATTACTGTGCCTTAAAACAGCTCTGATAAGCAAAGATGAAACTCAAATAGCTAAAAGGGAACTAGCAGCTCTCTTGCTTAGTATCAAATCCTGTTTTAAAACTTTCTGCCCTTATAGACATCCTGTTTATATATTTAATCAATGAACTGCATGTGAGAGAAACAAAAATTTCCTGCAATCTTCTGTCAAATACGTATTCCTAAAACTGGAGTAACTCGGCTTCTAAACAACTAAAAATGTGGGAAATTTTCCACATTCCTGTTTTATTTGTTTCTGCTTTTCTGTGAAGAGTTTTCTGATTGTTCTAGAACTGCTCGATAGTAACACTGAGGAAAAAAAAATCCCTCTCTTCTCTGCTCTTTTCCTACTTTAATCAGTTCTTTACTTTGACAAGAGATAGTACTTCTCCTGCCAAAAAGTAACGCCTATGTTAGCTCTCCAGACTAAAGGAGCTGCTAGGTAATGAGGTGAGATACGGGAACCTCCGGGATTGCTTGGGTTTGTTTGTTCTGTTTTTTGGGTTTGTTTTTTTTTGTTTGTTTGTTTTTTTAATTTTTAATTTATTTATTTACTGAATAGTTACTTTTTAAGAACCTTTTAAAAATCTTACTTTTTAAGAACAACTTCAGATCTTCTCTAAAGAAAATAAGTACGCGAAACAGCAGGAAATATTTTAGATCACCAGAATACTCCAGTGGTCTCACATCAAATAGTCAGGTTTCATCCTAAAACAGGTTGCATTTACCTGTTTGCCTGTGGCATTGCTCACATGTCGCTCAGAAATATATACAAATTACTCCTATTTAGTTTTCTACAAACCCTATCACTTACCTACAATACTTCTTTCCCTGCCATCTTCTTTATTTCATAATTACATAGACAACAATCCTACTATTTCTCAGGCTTTATTTGCCTAACAACCTGGAACAAATTTTAAAAGAAGTCATTATCTTATTTTTTTCCTAGCAGCCCTTCTATGTACTGTATTAGTTTTGATTCATCCTTCTTTATCATGATGTAGCAGAAATACATGCAGGGTTCCCAGTGGGGTTTCATCAGGCTCTTGCCTGGAAGTTTCTCTCTTAAAGAACACAAATACACACGTAAAGAAATAACCCCATTACAACACATGTAAGTTGTCACTTAACTTCCTTTTTGACCCACTAGACACATCTCTCCAGAACTGAGTTTTGAAACAATCTGTAGCAGACTTAACTGGACAGTACCTAAATGAGTATAAAAAGCTATAATGGCAATCTATAGAACTTACCAAATGGATACAAAACTCTTCTAATGCAGACTTAAAACAAAAACACCTATTAAGGGTATCATTTTCTATTCGACTACATGTAGGAGCTGCTTAAGGATAAGAAAAGATGTGAAATTGAAGCATAGTAGTCATTCTGTACCAACTCTCCAGATGAACTATTTCATTCTATGTCAAAAGAGCCATTTGTGGTTTAGCTAATCCACTTCCAAAGAGAACTATAATGATACCCTTAGAGCAGAATGAACACATAGCAAGTAGAGAACAGAGTATTTGCAAAAGCTGTGCCAGCCATTTCCAGACTAGGCAAGCCATTACTTTTGATGTCATAGTTTAAAATTCTACTAAATTCTTATGGATTTTTTCCACTGCAACTAACTAGGGAAACAAACAAACAAACAAAAACTGAACAAGTAGCAAAAAAGAAGAATGCAGTTTCAGGAATGATTGCTACAGTGGTTTCCTTATTAACAATTACTCACTTTAAGTTAGTCTTTAACTGTTCTTTAGTTAAATATTACCTGAGTTACTAAACTTAGTTCCACTTGTCCTCTGGGGCAGCTGTAGGACTGTTCCTACTTCCAGTGAAATCAGCGTAAAACCCACGTATCTGCAATATACTAATCCACATTCTTTCACTCCTTTGCAGATGGGTGCCTACACCAGATGATGTGTGTAAATGTAAAATCCTTCTCCAGTGACCACTTGACAGCAACCAAAGGTTTACTAACAGACAACTCCTAGCCTTCCTGTTAAGAGAGTATCATTAGTCTCTGTAACAGTAAGTAAACCCACTGCTTCTCCTGCTTATCAGATATGTTTCCTTCCTGTGTCACGAATTATATCACCACGCTGATGGGAAGAAGAGTAAAGGGATTTTTTTTTAATGGTTGTTTTATCTATCACTTTCACTGAAGCAGAAATTCTAGACTGATTCACAAATGGAAACCCCAAACACCATGCAGCAAAGCGTTCATCTATGG